TTCCCTTCCGGCCCTGCCCCGGCTCTGCCCCGGCTGCCCAGCCCACATGAGGAGGGGGGGGATGGAGGGCAGCAGCGCCTGCCCTGGCTCCTTAGGCCCGGCTTCCAGGTGAGCTCCTCCCCAGCCATGGTCCTGGGGTTGCTGGCCAACCAAACCCTGCCTCCCCTTCTACCCCTGGCCACCAGCCCCATGGCTTTCGAGCCTGGCAGCAGGGGAGGGCGGGGAGCACAATGCGGCTCCAGCCTGCTCCACTCTGCTCCCAGCCGCATGGCTCTGGGGAGGGGCTTGGGGTGCAGGGGCGGAGCAGGGACTTGGAGGAAGGGGTGGAGTGTGGCTGGGGAGGGGCGAGGTGGGGCAAGGAGTGTAGTGGAGGCAGGGTCTGGAGCAGGACAGGGGTTGTCCTGGGTCCGCACCCCTCCAGGGACAGCCCTGCCAATGGGTCCCCATGAACTTTCCCCCAGCAGAGGACAGGGCCACGGTTAGAATCCGGAGCGTTCCTTGCCCCAGGCCGTCCCGGGAGATTTCACAAAGCGCCATCTTGCTTGTTTGCTTCCCTGTCGGCAGGCGTCCCCATCCCTGACCCTGCTGCCAGCTCCCGGATGGAGCCAGGGGAAGAGCCGAGGGTGCCGGACCTCCAGGGCTCTGAGGAAAAGGAGACCCCAAGAGGCGCCCGCACAGGTGAGCGATGAGTGACACCAGCCCAGAGACAGGAGTGAAGGGGAAGCCGCAGGGAGCCCCCCCCATGACGGGCGTCACTCCCAGCCCCCACCTGTCCTCCCTGGCCTCTGAGGGCTCAGCTTGGCCACTGGGCAGAACGGGCCCCTTCTCCCCCCCCCCCCCCCCCCGGGAAGGGTTTGGGGCAATTGGCTTCCAGCCCATCAGGTTTTCTGCTCAGCCACAAACCCCTTTTCTACCCCCCGCCCCAGCGCTGGGAACAAGCCCCAGTTGGATTTTCTCTGTCCCAGCAGGTGCCGGGATGGTGAGCGAGCATGAGGAGGCGATTCCCCAGCAGGAAGGGCCAGCAGGCGCACAGCTACACAGGACGCCCCAGAGTCCCGCGCGGGGAGAGGCCGTCGAGAACCAAGGTGGGGTGGGGCTGGCAGAGCGGAAGGCCCAGGCCGAATCCCCACCCCCGGCACGGCACAGGCGGGTGGGGCGCGTCATCTGTGGCGACTGCGGGAAGAGCTTTGTGAAGAACTGTGACCTCTTCAAGCACCAGCGGGTGCACACGGGAGAGAAACCCTACAGCTGCCCGGACTGCGGGCGGAGCTTCACCTTCCACTCCACCCTCAGCAAGCACCAGCACATCCACACCGGCGCCCGGCCCTACCCCTGCGCCGAGTGCGGGAAGAGCTTCCGGCAGAAGGGCCACCTGACCCGCCACGCCCGCGTCCACGCCGGGCTCAAGCCCCACGTGTCCGC